TTCCTGCTGCCAGTAGGGATGGTTTTCTCCAGGCTGCCACCTCATCACAACCACTTCTTCATTTCACACAATGGAGCCCAGGGCTGTGTGCCTGCCAGGCCTTTAGCACCACAAAGATGAAGGAGAGCCTCGACCTGCACATACCTCACAGGCCCCAGCCACAGACCTGTCTGAGTGCATCAGGGCAGGTGGGCGGGGCTGACCTCAGATGGCTTTGCTTAGACAGACAACAGAATGACTTTAGACTCCTGAGACACTAGGTGACCACCTCAGGTGCAGGTGCCTGGGGTTGCAGCACCGCTGAGTGGGACATTATGGGGGAAGAGCTGGAGGACTCACCCTTCCAGCCCACAAGGAGCTGCTCTCCTACATCTTGGATCTACAGCCCTTGGTGGGAATGAACGTGACCTCAAGTCCTCTCCTTCACAGCCTCCCTCTCCATTAACCAACCCTTCCCAGGCTCAACCACCCTCTCCGCTAACCAACCCTTCCCAGGTTCACCTTCCCTCTCTGCTAACCAACCCTTCCCAGGTTCACCCTCCGTCTCCGCTAACCGACCCTTCCCAGGCTCAACCTCCCTGACCCCTTCCAGGTTCACCCTCCCTCTCTGCTAACCGACCCCTCCCAGGCTCACCCTCCCTCTCCGCTAACGGACCCCTCCCAGGCTCACCCTCCCTCTCCACTAACCGACCCCTCCCAGGCTCCCCCTCCCTCTCCGCTAACCGACCCCTCCCAGGCTCACCCTCCCTCTCCGCTAACCGACCCCTCCCAGGCTCACCCTCCCTCTCCGCCAACCGACCCCTCCCAGGCTCACCCTCCCTCTCCGCTAACCGACCCTTCCCAGGCTCCCCCTCCCTCTCCGCCAACCGACCCCTCCCAGGCTCCCCCTCCCTCTCCGCTAACCGACCCTTCCCAGGCTCCCCCTCCCTCTCCACCAACCGACCCTTCCCAGGCTCAACCTCCCTCTCCACTAACCAACCCTTTCCAGGCTCACCCTCCCTCTCCGCTAACCAAACTCTTCCCCAGGCTCAACCTCCCTCTCTGCTAATCAACCCTTCTCAATTAACCAACTGACTTGGAAAATCTCCCCGTGCTGACCCCAATCTGGTGCAATTCTTGAGGCACCTCTCTAACACACACACACACACACCACCCACCCCCAACACACACACACACACACACACACACTTGTGACGTTTAAAGGTTAGAAAACAGCCCTGCAGTACCCAGATGTAAGGGAACAAGGCCAGCCTTCTGGACTAAGGACCCCTCAACTTCCAGAACATTGTGCAGTAGGGTTTGGCTGCGGAGCGCCTGAAACATGGGAAATGTGCCTGAGGAACTGAACTCTACTTTTTTTTTTTTTTTTTTTTTGAGATGAAGTCTTGCTCCGTTACCCAGAATGGAGTGCAGTGGCACAATCTTGGCTCACTGCAGCCTCCACCTCCAGGGTTCAAGCGATTCTCCTGCCTCAGCCTCCCAAGCAGCTAGAATTACAGGTGTGTGCCACCACCATGCCTGGCTAATCCTGGTTAATCTTCGTATTTTTAGTAGAGATGGTGTTTCACCATGTTGGCCAGGCTGGTCTTGATTTCCTGACCTCAGGTGATCCTCCTGCTTCAGCCTCCCAAAGTGCTGGGATTACAGGCATGAGCCACTGCACCTGGCCTGAACTCTACATTTTTAAAAATTATAGTTATATGTAAATACCCATGTGTGTCCTGTGGTTACTGGACTGGACAGGGAGCTCTAGAATATTCTGCTAACCCCAGATGCCTCACTCAGCATCTTCATGAGATTTTACCAACATTGCTCCCCATCCAGGATAGCATCTGGGTGGGTGATGGATGTACAGATTAAAATCCATTTTAGAGTTCTCTTCTGCACTGTTGGCACTGCACATCTCCCTGAGACTAAAATCCAAAGACCTTGCCAAGCAACATGGCCTTCTAAGATCTCATTTCCCACCACTGGTGTGGGCCCCATCCCACCCCATCCTCTGCAGCTGGCCGGCCTCCTGGCTGCTTCCCACACACCCCAGGCATGCAGTGACCCCAGGGCCTTTGCACACGTCAGCGCCACTCTTTGAGATGCCTTTCCCTCTGACATCCCGAAGGCCCACTCCTTCCTTCCTCTTTTCCTGGTCTTTGCCCCAAATGTCACAGAGGCCACCCTCAGCTCCCAGCGGGAAGGAAACACGCTTCTGCATTGCCAGCTCCGTGTCATTCCACCCTCACCCTGCTTTATTTTTCTTCCTGTCATTTACCAACCCTGACATGTTGCACAGTTCTCTGCTTACTTGTTAATTATCTAATGTGCAGTCTCAGAGAGTAGAGTGTGCCGTGGCTCACTGATGTGTCCCCGGCACCTAGAAGAGAGTGTGGCTCTTACAAGAAACTCCATATGTACTAGTGGAAATAATGAATTCGATCCCTGATTACTTTTCATCATAGATATGCACCGAACATCAGCCACATTTTGGGTTACCCAGGTTTCTACGCCCTCATCTAGAAATACAACTTCCACTTCCCTGTTTCTATGGGAACACAGAGTCTGAATCCCAAATAAGACTCAGCAGAACTTTTAAAAGAAGCTACTTCTAAACGACTGACTCCGCCAACCGCATGCCCTCAGCAGGGCCACCATGCTGCAGCGTGGAGGAGGTGGACCAGGGGTGGGCTGCAGGGAGCTGGGGGGAGTGTGGCAGGCTGGAGAGCACAGCCTTTCCAGAGGGGCCACGCTCCCACACCCTGCCAAATGTCCACATGCACAGAGGCTACCTGGGTGTGGCCACGTTTCCTAATTTTTCAAGAGAAGCTGGAAAGCTGAATTTTTAAATGAAATTCCTGGAAGTTTAAACACCAGCAACACATTCAATTTTTTTTAAGTTAAAAAAAAAAATAAATGTTAACATCTGGGCAGGTTACAATCAAGCTCTCTTGGGTCAGATCCACCCTCCAGACGGCCGGTGGTGAACTTTACACTACGGCTCATTCTATCAACCCAGTGAGAGCTGGGCCCCAGGCCCAGACTTACTGACAGCCCTGCAGGAGGTTGACTGATCACAAGATGCATGGCAGGTACCAGCCAGTGCCCAGCTCCCTGCCAACCAGCTGCTTGTAAATACGTCGGATAAACCCACCAAAAGAAGAAGGGAAAAGAAATAAAAATAATGATTTGCTTGGCCACTCACATGTGGAAGAGAAAAGGCTAAAATCGAAGCTGATATTCCCTCATTCAGTCTGCAAGAGCCTCAGTACCGCCCCTCCCGGCTCTGCCCACAGAACACAGGCAGCAGGGGTGAAAGTGGGCGAAGAACCCTGTGCACAGCAACGTCCCCAGGCCTGGCGTGCCGCCCGGCAAGCAGCTCCCCCGGGGCGCATCATCTTGGCAAACTCTCCAAGGACCCTGGGCTGCACAAGCTCAGAGACTCCACCTGTTGTGTGGGGAGACGTCCTCGCTCTCAGGCTCCACCTGCTCATCCTCCCTTCACACGGAGAAAAGGAAACGCGACATGGACCAGAATCCCTGAGTTGGTACCAGCCATGTTTCCTCACCCTGCCGCGTAGCCACCCAGGAACCCACAGGGGGACCTGGGCTCCAGACTAGGGCACCGAGCCTCGTGGTTGGAGTGTTTGCAGGGATCATGAGGGGCCAGCTGGACACAACCACCTCCTCCTGCCATGGAAGGAAGTCCCTGTCCTGCACATTCACTGGCACTGCCCTGACCCATGCTGCAGGCCTCCCTGGGCCCCCACGGCCTGGGCCAGCCTCTCTGGGCTTCCAAGGTTGGCGTGTTCCTATGGTGGGGTTGACGCTGATGACAGCACCCACAGTCATGAGGCACTGTCTGACCCCTCCACCTGCGTGTCTTAGTGAGTCCGGGCCTCTATGCCAAAACACCTGAGGCTGGGCCGATTATAAATGGCAGAAGTCTATGACTCACAGTTCTGGTGGCTGGGGATTAAGGAGCCGGTAGGTGCGGTGCCTGGAGAGGGCTGCTCCCTGCTGCACAGGTGGTGGCTCTTGCTGTGTCTTCATGGGCAGAAAGACAAGGCAGTTGCCTTCAGCCCTTTTTTTTGAGACGGAGTTTCTCCCTTGTTACCCAGACTGGAATGCAATGGCGCTGATCTCAGCTCACTGCAACCTCTGCCACCCGGGTTCAAGCGATTCTCCTGCCTCAGCCTCCCGAGTAGCTGGGATTACAGACAAGCACCACTACAGCCAGCGCATCACACCCAGCTAATTTTTGTATTTTTAGTAGAAACAGGGTATCACCATACTGGCCAGGCTGGTCTCGAACTCCTGACCTCAGGTGATCCACCCGCTTCGGCCTCCCAAAGTGCTGGGATCACATGCGTGAGCCACCGCACCAGGTCTGCCTTCAGCCTTTTGTACAAGGGCACGAATCCCATCGCAGAGGCTCTATCCTCATGATGGAATCACCTCCAAAAGGCCTCATCTCTTCGTGCTACCACAGCAGCGATTAAATTTCAACAAGATTTTTTTTTTTTTTTCTCTCAGACAGGATCTCACTCTGTGGCCCAGGCTGGAGTGTAGTGGCACGATCTCTGCTCACTACCACCTCTGCTTCCCAGGTTCAAGTGATTCTCATGTGTCAGCCTCCCAAGTAGCTGGGATTACAGGTGCACGCCAGCATGCCCAGCTAATTTGCGTGCGTGTGTGTGTGTGTGTGTGTGTGTGTGTGTATTTTTTAGTTTTTTTTTTAGGAGAGACAGGGTTTCACATGTTGGCCAGACTGGCCTCAAACTCCCGGCTTCAAGTGATCTGCCTGCCTAGGCCTCCCAAAGTGCTGGAATTACAAGCACGAACCACCACGCCCGGCCAACACATGAATTTGAAGGCACATTAAGACTACAGCACCTATATGTGATGTCATTTGAACCTCTGGACACTCCCTTAACTGCAGTGATTAGCCCCACTTCGAAGTGGAGGGGGCTGCATTCATTTCCCCCGGCTGCTGCGCCGTGCCGTCATAAAGCGGGTGACTTAAACAACGGAAGTTTCTGCTCTCACAGTTCCGGAGGCCAGAAGTCTGAATTCCAGGTGTTAGCAGGGCTGTCCACCCGCAAAGTCTCTAGGGGAGGGTCCTTCCTGCCTCTCCCAGCTTCAACGGCATTCCTTGGCTTGTGGCCGCGTCACTCCACTCTCAGCCCTCCATCTTCATGTGGCATTCTATCTGTGTGCACGGTGTCTCTTTTGCCTTTTCTTCAAAGGACATCTTTCAAGATTAGAGCCTCCCCAGTCCAGCGTGACCTCGTCTTAACTCAGTGACATCTGCAAAGGCCCTAGTTCCAAACGATATCACATTCACAGTTCTAGATAGACGTGAATTTATGGGGCAAACGCTTTGACTCAGTACGGGAGCACGTGGAGACTTTTAAGTAAATCCTAAGTGGCCTGCCCAAGGGCACCAGCTGAGAAGAAACCCAGCCGGACTGAAACCCAGGCTCTGCAGACGGGGATGCCAGGCCCCTGCGGCGCCCTCTGGCCAGATCTGTGGCTGAGAGTGCACCGGTTTCCTTGGGGTGTCTCTCCTGGCCGAGGTCTTGTGCCTCAGTAAATGCAGACCCAAAATAAACCACCTTCTTGGGTGACTGAGAACCCGGAAGAGAATTCTGGAAACAAGTTCCATCTTGTTCATAGAAATGGTGTTGGACACAACACAAAACCCTTCCACGGGTGCGCTGTGGAAACCGTAATCCTTTGCCAATTCCCGGCTGCATGTGCTCCCTCCTCTTTTAAAGTGGATAGACGCAAGCTGTCTAGCTACTTGGCTGTCTTGTTCAAATAAATGCGATTTCATCAAATCACCCAGGAAGTGCAAAATGCAGTCTCTGGGGGGCGACGGAGCTAATACCCGTCTCAGTGCTGAAACTGTTCTCCTGTTGGCTCCTACGCCGTGGCTTTTCTACGTGGCTTTCGGTGGTGGCAAACAGCAGAGACGCGCCCAAGCGGCTGACGATTTTCATGGAAAGGTGAGGCTGCTTCAGGGCGGCACTCCAGGGCACAGGGACGGCAGGGCTGTCCTGGCTTCATGTGGCCGGGGGCACCTGAGCAGCAGACGTGCAGGAACTCGCCACTGACACCTACCTGTGGTCTCTGGTAGCTGCGCTGCGGGAACAGATGATCACAAACAAGGTGGCTTCAAGCAACAAACCTTCCCCGCAGTCCTGGAAGCCAGCGTCCAAAACAGCATCACTAGGCTGGCCCTGAGGTGTCATCAGGGCCGTGTTCCCGGGAGGGCTCTGGGGCAGGGTCCTTCCCAGCCTCCTGGCAGCACCATTTGTATCTCTGCCCCCATCCACGTCCCACTCCCACCGCCCCCACCTTCATGCAGCCCCCTTCCCTGTGTGTGTCCTCTATGAGGACCTTGGTGATGACGCTGGCTTACCCAGTGCTACACTTTGGACATTGGCCCCTTCCAATCCTCACGTTAAAATGTAATCCCAGTGTGGTGGTGTCGGGAGTGGGGCCGAGCAGGAGGTGTCCGGGCCATAGCGGTGGATCCCCCATGAACAGATCAATGCCCTCCCCTCCGAGGTGAGTGTATTAAATTGGGGCTCTCCAGAGGAACAGAACTGATAGGATATATTTACACAGGAAAGCGAGTTTTCTCACCATCACAAGGTAAAGTCTCACAACAGGCCGTTTATAAGCTGGGGAAGACAGGAGCAGATCGTGGCCCAGTCCAAGTCCGAAAGCCTCAAAACCAGGGAAGCTGACAGTGCAGCCTTCAGTCTGTGGCCGAAGGACCAAGAGTCCCCGGCAAGACACTGGTGTGGCCTTTGGCCACAGAGTCCAAAGGCCAAACGATTTAGAGTCTGATGTCCCAGGTCAGCAGTGGAAGGAAGCATCCAGCATGGGAGGAAGAATGAAGCCAGGAGACCCAGCAGGCAAGGTCATCCCACCTGCCTCCACCTGCTTTGCTCTTGCCGTGCTAGCAGCCAAATGGATGGTGCCCACCCATTTGGCTGCTGGGTCTTCCTCTCCCAGCCCACCGACTCAAATGTCCACCTCCTCTGGCAACACCGTCACAGACACACCCAGAAACAATACTTCCCCATCCCTGTGGGCATCCCTCAATCCAGTCAAGTTGAAGTGTAACATTAACCATCACAGAGAGCGGGTTCCTGCTCTGCGAGTTCCCACTGAGAGCTGGTTGTTACGAAGGGCTTGGCACCTCCCTGCCAAGGAGCTGGGCCATCTCCTGCCTGTGAACTGACAGGCATGTGCACCTCTAGAAGAGCCGTTTGTGTATGTGTGTGTGTCTAATAGACAGTCTTACATGAACTTTACAATTTGCCAACATCAGCTCATAGAAATTGCAATGTAGACAGCAGCACAACAGGGACGTCCTGGGACCCTGCCCATGGCGTTCATCAGGGAAGAGGAAGGACCTGGGAGAAAACGCCATGACCCTGTTCCCACATCCACGTGGATTTCCACAAAACAAGGAAGGCACAACCAAAGAGTCTTGTTGGGGCTCATTTAACCAGGAAAGAAACTCAGAAAACCACCTGGAGGGAACAGGGAACAGAAGGGTCCATTGAACAGATTTCGTGGGTTTCTGAAAAGTGCAACGCCCGGAACCACAATGTCATCCATGGTGTCAGGCGGCCTTCATCACTGGCCGTCCCTCAGCCACGCAGTTGCCTCCACCAGCACGATCAGAGGAACGGCAGAGTGCACAGCCGCTGGCAGAGTGCTCTGGCAGCCACTACCACGCGTGGCACAAGAAAATTTACTCATCCCCCTCTGGCTAAATTGCTAAATGTGGGAACTCGGTTTGGAGCTCCGTGCAAAAGGAAATCAGACGAAGGGTCTGGAGGGCAAAAGCCAGGCTCTGACGACATTTCAGGAGATCCGCCCTCACTTTCTTGGGTTGAGTCCTCCCCCCAGTGAAGGCACTTGGGACAGGCCATGTCCAAAAACGCTTTGCCTGGGATCCTGGAGTGAAGAGCACAAGACGACACAGGACCATTGCCAACGATATTCCTGGGCCTCTGCCATCACTGGCTTAGCCTGCGGCAATGCTGGGGTCCATCACCTAATTGCCAGAGAACTGGAAATTCAGTTTCCTGCTTCTGACTTCAGCCTTTCTCCTCCTCCTTCTATGTGTAGTGTTAGGAGTTAAGGAAGAACATGGGGTCTGGCATCCAGCAGCCTATGCCCTGTTCATTGTCCTTTTAGGAGCTGTGTGACCTGGGCTGTTCACCCACAGGAGACCCTACTTCGTGGGACCACATGGAAAGGGCTCAGCACAGGACTGGGCAGGGTACCACCATGCACTGAAAGGTACCCAAACCACCAGGCACCGTGTCATTCATCAGAAAGACATCCACGTCAAGGCCTTCTTTGTCTTTTCCCTCCCATTTCATCCTTGTCCTTCCCTGCCCATTATTAAAATTGGGCCATATTAAAATGGAGCCATTCTGAACGTCTCTCATTGCCACTGCCTTTTTTTCCTGATTTTATCCACCTTTTCTTTGCTTCTGGATGTCTGGTTAGCAACTGTTGAATACAGACTGAAAACCGACAGAATGACAGCACATGGGAAGAGGGTTGCCCTCTCCAAAAATACAATGCCAGGTGCTAAAGTCCCTGCATCCAAAAAACAGTGGAAGCCCCTTTCAGAATGCAGCTGCTGGGAGGCAGGAACAACTCCTCCAGTCAGTTCCCCCATGCTTCAGCCAAGGTTCTCCATAGACACAGACCCACGGGATGTGTGTGACGTGCATGTGCGTGTGTGTGTGAATATACACACTTACAAATAGATACATATTTACATATATATTTGTAATATGTGTATATGTATATATTTGTGTATACTTTATGTGTGTGTATATGTGTATGTATATAAAGAGATTTATTTTAAGGAATTGGTTTAAATGATTGTGGAGGCTGACAAGTCCAAAATCCATAGGACAGGGCAGCAGGCTGGAAACTTAGGCAGGAGTTGATGCTGCAGTCTTAGGGCAGAATTCCTTCTTCTCTGAGAAACTTCAGGTTTTGCTCTTAAGGCCTCCAACAAATCGGATGGGGCCCACCCACAACATAGAGGGCATACCTTTACTTAAAGTCAACTGACTGCTGATGTCAATCACATCTACAGAACACCTTCACGGCAACCCCCACATTAGCATCTGAGTAGATAACTGGGTGCTAGAGTCTAGCCAAGCTGACATATCAAACTACCCAACACATACAGCCCATTTCTGCCTCTCTCCCTTGCTGTAGCCCCTCCTTGGCTTGGGTCTTCTACTGTTTAGACTTCTACCCATTCTGTTCCTCTTTGTCTTCAGAATCAGGAAGTTTGCTATCTTGGACTGAGCAATCCAAAAAGCAAAGGGTCGCCGATGATGTTCATTTCACACCTGGTTGCAAGAAAAGGGCCTGTCACAAGCCTCTTCCTCACCACAGATCCCAGAGCCCTGGACTGGAAGTCAGAAGGCTGGAGACTTATCACTGATTGTCTCTCTAGATTTCCATTTCTCCCACAAACTGGGGATAAAAAAGCCAACCTCATCGGATTGCTGAACATTAAACAAGAACATATAGAAAAGCATTTGTGAACTTTAAAACTTTGTGCAAATGGAAAATTCATCACTCTCATCATCATTAAAATTTTCAGTATCTTTTTTTTTTTTTTTTTGAGACGGAGTTTTGCTCTTGTCACCCAGGCTATAGTGCAATGGCACGATCTTGGCTCAAGGCAACCACTGCCTCCCAGGTTCAAGCTATTCTCCTGCCCCAGCCTCCCAAGTAGCTGGGATTACAGGCATGCGCCACCACTCCCAGCTAATTTTGTATTTTTAGTAGAGATGGGGTTTCTCCATGGTGGTCAGGCTGGTCTTGAACTCCCAGTCTCAGGTGGTCCACCCACCTCGGCCTCCCAAAGTGCTGGGATTACAGGCGTGAGCCACTGTGCCCAGCCCATTTTCAGTATCTTAATCACCATAATCATGGCCATCATTAAAATCATCACTATTATCACCATCACCATCAATATTACCATCATCATGACCACCACCATCTCCATCAACATTACCATCATGAACACCACGACCACTATCAACATTACCATCATCATAACTACCATCATAACCATCAACGTTACCATCATGACCACCACCACCACCACCATTACCATCATGAACACCATGACCACTATCAACATTACCATCATCATAACTACCATCACAACCATCAACGTTACCATCATCATGACCACCACCACCACCATTAACATTACCATCATGAACACCATGACCACTATTAACATTACCATCATCATAACTACCATCACAACCATCAACGTTACCATCATCATGACCACCACCACCACCATTAACATTACCATCATGAACACCATGACCACTATCAACATTACCATCATCATAACTACCATCACAACCATCAACGTTACCATCATGACCACCACCATCACCATTACCATCATGAACACCATGACTACTATCAACGTTACCGTCGTCATAACTACCATCGTTACCATCATAATGACCACCATGATCACCATCAACATCAACATCATCATGACCACCATGATCACCATCAACATCACCATCATCATGACCACCACCACCACCATCAACATCACCATCATTATCACCATCAACACCATCATTATCACCACATCATCACCATCACTCTTCAACACCCACCCAAAATGTTTAAGTGCTTCATCTCTACCTTAGATAAATCCACTTCTGTCTATCTTCTGATTCTCAAACCAGAGTAAACATTAGAATCCCTGGAGGGCTTAGGAGAACACAGAGCACTGGTCCCTGCCCCCAAGAGTTTCTGATCCAGTGGGACTGGGGTGAATCCTGAGAATCTGCCTTTCTCTCAAGCTCCTAGGTCTTCTGATGCTGTCTATCCAGTATTTTAAATCATTAAGCAAGGGTCAGCCAGATGAACTCCAACAACTACCCCAAGACTTCTTAGAAAAACCTGCCTTTGCAGCACAGTTGTACATCATCAGCACTTTCCAGATGAACATATTTGATCCCTTTTAAATGGTGCAGTCAGTCATCATTTCTCCCACAAACTCAATATTAAATGATTCATTTTTCATAACTGAGAGGGTAAGAACAACTGTGAATGAAAAATAAAAGCTGGGGATATTTTACGGGCAAAGATCCACAGAGTGAATCCAGTCTCTTTGTATTAATAAAACACGAGGCAGGAAGATGAGGAGGAGAAAGTTGGCTCCTGACAGGCACTGCCAGGGCCCATTCTGGGCACGTAGATTGGCAGAGACCTCATTCCGCCAGTTACCCGAGCAACGTCTATGGTGTACGGAGTCTGATCAGTTCAGTGACAGTGCGCATCACTTTCTTTTGGAATCATTTGTGGCACTGATTGATTGTCCTTAGCAAAATAGAGACAGATGGCACAGGGTTGGTGCTGGTGCAGTTTTGCTGCTGTGAAGGCGTACTAAGCATCCTGCCAGGTCTCACGTAATAAGGGCATCCCCATCCCCGGTGGTCACTGTGCCAATGGCGACAAGGCTGTAATGGGGACTGACAGGGAAGGGACAGGCCACCCGAACCGACCTTTCATCCTGGCTGCCATGGAAGACTCGCTTCCCTGGAGTGCTGTGTGGTGGTTGTAGGCTACCGCCCAGGAGAGTCAGAAATGGCTTTCATGATTACCCAAGTGTTTGCCTTGAGTCAACGGGCATCAGCAGCTGTTTTTTGAGCAATTTAAGCAACTATGTGACTTTTTAAAATAAAGGACCAAAGAAATATATTATTTGATGCCCCAAAAAATAATGTTGAATCCAAGCCCACAAATGCATAGCTAACCCCAAAGGGGCAGACGCAGTCACACCATGAAATCAAAGAAAGCCGCAGCCTCCTCATATTCCCCACTGGAAAGAGGACATTCTCTTGGAGTGTAACTGGAATCTCTATAGACCCATCAGCAAACCAGGGACCCATTCCAACCATCTACTTTATATTAGACATTTGCAAACGGCCAGATTCAAGACTAAAATCCAGGCTCACCATGACTGAAGAGTTAAAGTAAACTCCCTAATGGTTGACATGGTTTGAATGTGTTCCTACCCAAATCTCATCTTGAATTGTAGTTCCCATAATCCCCACGTGTCATGGGAGGGACCCAGTGGGAGGTAAAGGTAACTGAATCATGGGGGCAGTTACCCCCATGCTGCCGTTCTCACGATATTGAGTGAGTTCTCATGAGATCTGATTTTATAAAGGGCTTCTCCCCCTTTTGCTCGGCACTTCTCCTTAATGCCACCATGTGAAGAAGGATGTGTCTGCTTCCCCTTCCGCCATGATTATAAGTTCCCTGAGGCCTCCCGAGTCATGCTGAACTGTGAGTCAATTAAACCTGTTTCCTTTATAAACTACCCAGTGTCAGGTGTGCTTTTATTAACAGCATGAGAATGGACTAATAGTGGTTATGAAGCATCTGGGCCCAGTTGTTGGGCTGAACTCATTCATTTTCAACACTACAAGCCTGCATATATTAGGAATGTCTAAGAAGAGTATTAGTAAAATCATTCATGGAAGCTGATTCTAAACTAAAGTCCTCTCTCAGTGCAATAAGATATACAAATCATTTCCAAATGAGGAGAATCATGGAAATGTCAATTTTCAGTTCAAGTGGATCTGACTGTGTATAACATCAAAAAGCATTTCTATAACTCATTTAGCTAAAAAAAATTAGCATTTAGCTTAAAATATTTTATTTCACCCTAAACAGTTCTCTGGACAACGGCATCAGAAGTAGACGAGCTCCATTTCTGTGCAACAGAATATTACCCAGCCATGAAAAGGAGTGAAGCACAGGCGCAGGCTACAACGCAGGCGAGCCTCAGCGACGATGCTGAGTGACAGAAGTCAGATGCAAAATCTCATCTATTACATGACCTCATTCATATCATACATTCAGAATAGACAAATTCATAGAGATGGAAAGTCATGAGTGGTTTTCTAGGGGCTGGGGGAGGGGAGTGGGGAGTGGCTGGTTAGTGGGTACAGGGTTTCCTTTTGGAGGCGATAAGTTCTTAGCTAGATAATGGGGATGGTTTTGCACAGCATCATGAATATACTTAATGCCACCAAAGTGTACACTTTAAAATGGTTCAAATGTTAAATGTGATGTTGTATGTATTTTGCCACAATTTTTAAAAAAGTTTAGGACCTGGGCTTGTGCATTCCACCTCAGAACACCCTGGACCATGCTTGGCTGGGGTTGTTCTCCCTCCACTCTGGGACAGCGGATGCCCTAGGGGTGCTGATGGAAGGCAAGTCCCCTCCCGTGTGATCCTCAGGCAGCCTGTCCCACTGGACGGAGAGGCGGCAAAGCCAGCATCTCCCAACAGCTGCACGGTTGGACGCACTTACGTCTTTGCTGCCTTTCCAGCGCTGACTGCTGCACGCATTTCCAC